TCAGCATCTTTACAACAAAGCCATTGAGACGGAAAAAGTGCCAAAAGAGTGGAAGAACGCCATCATTATTCTACTCTTCAAGAAGGGAGACAAGAAAGATCTTGCAAACTACCGCCCCATCAGTTTGCTATCCCACATCTACAAGTTGTTCATGAAAATCATCAAGAACAGAATCAGTGGCACTCTGGATGAACATCAACCCCCAGAGCAAGCAGCATACAGGAAAGGATTCTCCACTGCAGACCACCTGCATGCTACAGGACAAATACTCGAGAAAACCAACGAGTACCAACAACCACTGTTCATGGCATTTGTAGATTACGAAAAGGCATTCGATTCCATCAAGCATGCCCCAGTATTCCAATCACTTGCGAAACACGGAGTACCAGGAAAGATCATAAACAGCATAAAGGAAACATACAGAGAAGGCACAGCACAAATAAGAACAGAAAAGCTGAGCGAAAAGATCAAGATAAAGAAAGGTGTCCGCCAAGGAGATACACTGTCACCTATCATGTTCACTGCTGCCATTGAAGAGATCTTCAAAAGAATACCATTGGAAAAAGAGTAATGAACAACTTAAGATTCGCAGATGACATCATCTTGTTTGCAAACAAAGAGGAAGATCTCCAAGAACTTTTGACGAAACTGAATGAAGAAGGAAAGAAAGATGGTATGAAAATGAATAAGAAAAACCAAGATCATGTGCAATGACATCGCAAGGAGGAAGCAAAGAAGAGGGATCACAGTTGACGGAGAGAAGTTGGAGGAGGTGGAGGAGTACAAATACCTTGGAAAAATGTTAACACCAAGAAATGAAATCAGTGTTGAGGTCAATCAAAGAATCAATGTCGGATGGAGAAGATTCGGCAATACAGTCACTTTCTAAAGGAGAAGAACATCCCAAACAGTTTGAAGAGGAAAATAATGGACACTGTCATTTTACCATCTATGACATACGGAGCAGAAACATGGGCGCACAAAACACCAATCAAGGAAGCTGGCAGTCACACAAAGGAGCATGGAGAGGAGCATACTAAATATCAGGCTAAAAGACAAGATCAGGAATGAAGTAATCAGAGAGAGAGAACCAGGGTGAAAGATGTCATCCAAACAGCAAAAGAAATGAAAGGCAGATGGGCAGGCCATGTGGCAAGAATGGAAAACAACAGATGGGCCAAATTGACAACAGAATGGTACCCAAGAAACTGCACCAGAGGAAGAGGAAAGCCAAAGAGAAGATGGAGAGACGAGATCGAAGAGGAAACTAGAAAGACCTGGATGAGGAGAGCTAAAGACCGAATCGAGTGGAAGAAGTTGTGGAGGCCATCTGCCAGCAGTGGTGAACGGCTGATGATGATGATGATGAAGGTAATTGAATTAAATTATGTAGGCAAAACTTGTATCATCAAATAAATGAATAAGTGTCCCAACAGTCAGAATATTTTAACAGTCAATTTCCAATGAGAATACTTAATGCATCCAATTGTCAAAACAAAAAATCTCAAATAACCACACCTGTCAACACAAAAAATTGGCAAAAATCATATATGCTTTAAACAAAGCAACTACATCAAGTATGAAGGAGAAATTAAATGTTATAATATTTTACATATAAGATGTTAAAAAATGAGTACAACAACTTCAATGACTACAATAACTTCAACAGCTTGGATCTCAAAACAGCCACTGTAATAACCTGAAAGTAGTCAATTACTGTATTCAACTGTATTCAATAACTTGGTCCAAACAACTCAGCCCCTATTCAACCCCTAATTTAATTGTAAGCCTAACTTTGACCATAGCTCCCAACCCTAACCTTAGCCTTTACCTAAACCATTATATGGAACATCGTGCTGTCAAACTGTGAAGAGTGCTTGGCAACCAATGCATCTTGAAATTGAATTGGCTGTTGTCCGAACACAATCTGATATAAATAGCTTGCACATAATAATCTTGGAATACATAAAATGTAAACTTAACATCTTCAACCTTCACATATTACAAATGGTAATAATGAAACAACAGTAATATGAGATCGACACAACATGCAAAAAATCACCATCAAATTTCACAATCCATGCAACCAACAACAAACACCATTTGTTAATTAACAACCCTTCGTAAACAAAAAATTGTATAAAAGACTTTCATTCGCGCATTTGTGAATGTCAGCACGAAGTCGCAGCGAGCAAACGTCGCATCAAAGAGCGCGATCTTTATCATGAATTCATAATCTTAGCCTAAGCAAGTAAAAGATACGATAAACATCGCGTGTCAAAACGCAATAAATTGTTGCTTTGAAGGGGTAAGTTTAAATTGAAATAAAAACCTCTCGAATGATTAGTCAGTCATTAAACAAAACTGTAATGAACTTTGATTACAAGAATTTGTATACGGAAATACGTAAACTCGTCAATCTATGTGCACAGCTGTTCAAGTCGCACATTTCAACATGTTGACAATTTTTGGTCGGCAGCGATACGTTTTCTATACAATAACTACAAAGTAGCATTCTCATTTCAAATGTTAAATAAGATTATCACACACACACACGTGTTAAAATGACTCTAACTTCGACCGTTTTAGAGAAAACCGTCGTAAAGTATCATACCTAATAGCTGGTCGGGTTCCAAGCCGGACACATTGTCAAGTCCGCAAACAACGAAATAGTCAATGAGCCGTTCTCCCGCAGACGTTGGAGCGGTCATGGCGCTCTTCTTTATGTAACCCTTACTTTAAATAGAGAATACGCCATTTTTTAAGCTACATATCACTGTATGCAAAGTCTCGCATGCATCAAACATGCAAAGAAAAATCGTTCTCGTTCAAATGTCATGAAGTCATAGACATGGTTTGATTGATCTCTTGCCACTCCAGCTTCGCGGAGGAAGGACTGTACACTGACCGACCATTGAACTGGACTATTATTTCACCGCTGGCGTTGTTAGATCATGTCAAACCAAACCCATTGAGTTCTAGAAGACCTGGAGGGGAAACGTACGGTGGCCCATAAGGGCCATCACTTAAAAAAAGTCACAACACAAGTAAATGTAATCACAACACAAGTAAAATAATCACAACGCAAGTAAATAAAGTCACAACGCAAGTAAATAAAATCACAACACAAGTAAAATAATCACAACGCAAGTAAATAAAGTCACAACACAATTAAATATAGTCACAACACAAGTAAATATAATCACAACGCAAGTAAAATAATCACAACGCAAGTAAATATAATCACAACACAAGTAAATATAATCACAACGCAAGTAAAATATGAAATACTGGAAATTCTTTTTGTGAAGTGGAAACATTGTTGTGATATTTTGCAAAATGGCGCTTGTTTAAATTTGTTCCACGAAAACCAGACTTATTATAAATTATATTCAATATATTGCTTGATGGATAGCAAAAAATGTTTTGTTCAAACTGTGGTATAGAAAGTGTGGAAAATGCGAATTACTGTTATAAATGTGGCAACTCCTTCGCACCGATGCGCGAAAAACTTGAAGAATCTGCAAACACATGTTCTACGTCGAATTCTATAACTAGTGGGATCTCAGTATTATGTGCTAGCGGTACCCTTACTGGTACAACCCAGCCGCCTAAAACGTTAAGTTTTTACGATTTCAAGCGCCAGAAGGAAAGCGATAGGCGCAGCAGACTCGAGCCAAAGACCAAGAAACTCAAAGCAAATTCTGGTAAAGGAAAAGATAAGGAGCATGAAGTAAGCATAAATATTGGTTACATGAAGGTCGATAATGACGGAAATTTGAAAAGATGTCGGGGTAAAACTCTCCTGTAAAAGTTTTGCCAAGTGCGAAAAGAGAGAAATCTTAGAAAAGCAGTTAGAAAACATGCTAACCACGACAATAACATCCATGGCGAGTTGGAGCACGTCCTTTGAATGTAAACGGGAAGGAAATCACAAATTTGCCGGGAACTGAAAAGAGTTTGTGTTAAGCGAATACAGGGAAGATATAGGGAAGAATTATAATCGCTTAACACTTTTCATTGCACTAAAATCTGCATATATGTACACAGAGATTTCAAAATTAAAAGAAGTTGTGATGATAGTGAACCAGAGACAATCGCAGATCTTTCTGATGAGATGTTTTAGAAACTGATGATACAATTGAATTGAACTCTCACCTTGTCCATCTTCAAGTCCATGTGAGCCATCAACTAGCTTGCATATTGCTACAAATCTCCCAATGAATACACCTCCCATATATAACTCCCAAAGTGCAAGTAACTATGTATCACGTAGCAAGGAGCTCAAATGTGAGTGCCCAACATGTCAACAATACTTTTCAATAGATGAAATAGCAGAGCATGCAGATATATGTTGTGACATATGGGTGGGAGCACTTCAATCTCAAAATACGGATAGTGAAAAGAACATTCCCGAAGAAAATCCTTATGTGGTGATAAACCAAGATAACACTACAAATGTGAAAGATAAGTTATTGGATATTAAAGCTGTAACATTGTCACCAAAGGCAGTAAGATTAAATGTTCAGAGAAAAATATATGGTGTGACTTCATTGAGTATAGATCAAGTGGTAAAGTGTCACCAACTGACAGTGTAAAGATAGTGTTTGTTGGAGAGTGTGCAATTGATGACGGGGGGCCAAAGAGAGAGTTTTTTTCAGGTACTAATATTGTAAGACATATGTTTCTAGGGTTAATATGAGCACCCTGTTGATTTAAAATAAATATATTGTTCTGCTACACTTCAATTCCTTTGCAGCTTATTTCCCATAATTTGTCTATCATGCATCAATCAATGTTGACAAGTTTGGTTTAAATATAGGATGGGGACAATTGAAAAAATATGATTAGATGTTAATTCTTTCATCAGAAATGTTGGAGCATATGGAAAGAAGACTGTTCTGTAATGGAAAACCTATTAATTCAACTGTCGCCATCATGAATGGAGACTTTCGTTTTGCTGGCGAGGTCATGGTGATGTCATTACTTCAAGGGACCAGCTTCATCTTTTATAAGTCCAGATGTTTACAAGTACATCACCAAACAGGCACTCACAACAGAAGGAATGCCCGACTCCAAGTACAAAAAAGCTGTTAAAAAGGTATGCCGCAACAAGATGGAGATTACCATATGCTTGATTATTACTCCTTGCTGTGGCATGATTTTGAAATAAGTCTATTTTATTATATTCTCTGATGTCAGTAATGATTACTTTACACTTCTCCTTTTCAAAGATAAAGCAAGCTTGTGACGATGAAATGTTGAGGGAGATACTTGTCAGCGATGATATGATTGAAATGCTATCAGAGGCTGGATACACTGGTGTACCACATAAAGAGACAGTGCATACTGTTTCCAAAATTGCTCAGTAAGTACATTTTGAAAGTTAATGGAGATTAAAAAAACTATTCTTGTGCTGCTGGTTTATAAAGTCTAAGATTTATTTCTATTTTTAAAGGTCAATTTGCGTAATGGGCCACTTTTCATCAGTTCTTCCTCAAATTATGCAATTGCTTGAAGGCCTCAGCAGTTGTGGTCTTATAAATTATATGATAGAAAATCCAGAGTTGTGGAAGCCATTGTTCGATCCTTATAACGATTCGTTTAAACTTTCTGCTGATACTTTCCTCAATGAAATTATTCCAACATTCAGCAGTTCGCAGATTCACAAGGAAAAGGAGGTTGACGTGTACAAGATATTTTGCGACTATGTGCAAACCCTAGATACTGAAGGTTAGTTTGAATATATATGTTGTAAATTGGGTGCCAAATTGTATTATTGTATTTACGATGGAATTTTTTGAAAGTATCAAATAACGCGTAAAATTTATTGAAGTGATGTTTTCTAATCTGAAGTTGTGGTATAAAACAAAAATGGATACCTTGATTAGTTTGTTTATTCATTTTTCAGTCTTAAATGTTTAAAATGTTTTTAACAGGAGACGTATCCATATCAGCGTTTCTGAAGTGGTTATCGGGATGTAAGACTATTCCAGTTCTGGGTTTTCCAAAAAATTTCCGTAACGTTTGTACATGATTGCAAAGAAAATTGTAAATGTCGCCCCACAACATCAACATGCGATCTTCTGCTGAGAATTCCAGTTCATATAAGTAACATTAGTGAGATGGAGCAGATGACACAAATATAATACGAACTAAAATGAATTTAAGTTTTATAGCGTTAATAACTCTCATCTGTCCATCGTAACTTTGCTATAATTCTATAGATAAATTATGTTTTATATATAACAGATTATTGATGATCCGACTTCACCTGAAGGTGTTCAGCAAGAACGACGTATGAAGTTACTGTCGTAAATTAATAATATAGCCCTTGATAAAGGGGTGGATGGTCAAAATTATAAATGTCATGGTTGTTCCAGACCAATTGGAATGAGTATGATCAATGAATTCTTGACTTGTTATTTCCTAATAACTCAAATATATTTATTTTCAAATTTCTTAGCTTAATAAATGTTTTCTTTGTAGAAACTATTATAACAAAGTACATAATCCCTTTTTTCCGTGAAGCCCATGGATGCGTTCGTTCATGATGAAAGAGTCATATTGTATAAGGAGGCTCTCGTTCATCACGAGAGTTATGAGAAAGTTACGTTGTAAAGGTAATAAGTAAAAACGTATAAACATGCTTAGTGTTTGTTTAAGTTATAGTTCAAAAGGCAGAAGTTGTTTGAACCTTTGAAGTATCCTTGGACGTTCTAGTTTTTTATGAGAAGAATTCTTGTAAAGAAAAGATAAATTTTGAAAACCAAAGAATCCTGTTTTCGGTCCATGCCTCCAGATACCCCGAGATAGTTGAGCACTAGAGCGTCGCATGTTAACTAAGGGAACCACATAATCCTTGTTTGTTTTCCATGAAACATATGGATGGTTTGCTCGTGATACATGAGAAACAGTAAATGGGAGAGTTAAATCAGAAAGATATAAACCGATAAAATTGGTATAAAACTTGTTTAAGGTTGTCTTTAATTATAAGTGTCAGAAAAGACAGGGTCGTAAGAAGTTAATTGAAACATTGCTTGGTTTGTTTTATGAGAAGAAAACAAAAGATAAAATTCGAAAGCAAAACCCCGTTTTCGGTCCATGCTTCCCGATACCTTCTTAAGCGCAAGGCACTAGAACGCCGCATGTTAACGTTTCGGTAGGAGATTTCGGCCCCTCCACGCTATCCTACTTGGGAGATGCCAATAGCAAGCTTCCGCCCATCAGACCCTGAGATCACCATCGATAGGCTTTGCTCAGGGTACGCAGGGAGAGTGCGGTCGCCACCACCGAAGTGAGGGCCCTAAGCCACTGCATACTATATCGCACCCAGCTTCCACTGCTACTTGACATCTACTATATGAAGTTTTAGCTTTATATATATATACCAAAATTTAAAGGCCTACGAAAGTTGTGGGATGATTGTTATCGTTACTGCGCATGCCCAGATAGTTTCTTCGATAATTTGCGACTAAGTGAGTTAATTGACACAAATGTAGTGCAAGTACATATAGTTGGTCGTTGTCATGACTATGAACAATTACTGAGTGGACTGCGCATGCTCGAGCGCATGCGCAGACGATTTCTCTATTAAATTGTTACTAAGCATGCTATTTACTTCAAAATTGGTACTAGTAGATGCAGTTGGTCGTTGCCATGACCACGAACTTGGGTAGCTGGTCAAGTTGATTGCGCATACTCAATAAGACTGCGCATGCGCAGATGATTTGTCTTAAAACGTGTGACTGAGCGAGCTAATTACTCCAAAATCGGTACTAGTACATCCAGTTGGTCGTTACCATGAGCTTGGAGAGTTTGTGGAGTTGACAACGCATGCTCAGATTCTCAATTAATTTGTGACAGAGCGAGCTCTGAAATTGGTGCTTGTAGATGCGCTGAGCAAGTTTTCCATCATATATTTTGGCATGCTTTTGTCTACTTAAGCTTGTTTTTACAAATGCATGTGAAACTCGTCAACACTTTGTTACGGCACTCGTAATATCCGTGACAACGTTAAAAATGTTTTTTATTTTTCTCTACAACTTTATATCTGCATATTGCATGTCATATCCAAGCTTTCCTTTGATTTGACGGGAAATGGTTTTTTATTCACTCTTACATCTTCTGCCTTTATAATTAGTCGATCTGTATTTCTAAACTAATATTTACAAATGCCTCAAGAGAATCTTTTTATTTTATTGGCTCTCTTCTACAAATACAATACCATGTCCGACTATTTGATTGCACGAATTTTGTAATTTGATCACTTTTTTTGACACATGTGTTTACCATGGGAAAGTTGGATTGCTTAAATGTACGTAGTTATTTAGACTAGTTGGATCCATAGTTATCCTGTAATGTATACTCTTGTGAAACACCAATGAGCATACGTAGTGTGTCTTCTTTAACCTCTATTCTTGTTCTCCACTTCATCATCTATCCATATTTGTTCTTTTTTTAGTTCTCAGCTCAACGAAACCCTTGTCTGAAGTTCCTAAAGCCTTGATCTACCCAAGAAAGATCTCTGGTGGTAACATGTTAGGTATGGCTAGTGGTTGGTCATCGTCATTGAGCCTTGTGACACTAGTTCAGTAGACGTTAATTGTCCTGAAGACGTTGAGGAGGTTGCTAGTAAAGCGTCGCCTAAACCAGAAGTTAGTTTTCATGATATGCTAACGGATTACGCAAACGTTGTTAGGAAGAAGTTCACATCAAATGGTTATGGTCTCGTTCCATCGTCTTCTGAGAAGGTTTCATGTTCATCCTGTATCTTTCACCAATGTTACAAATACTTAGTTTTTTTATGCTTTTTGAAATTGTCGTTTTTATGACTATTATTTTAGAGCATAGACATTGAAGAATCTTGTGGTAGTACAGGTATTTTCAACATTTTTTTTGTTGAAAAATTCTCTAGTTTCAATTCTTCGAAATTTCTCATCTTAATTATCACCTTTACTTTAGAATCCTTTCGATACGAGAAATCGTCGGGATTTGAGGTACTTTATACGATATATTGAATTTAAGTTTTATAGCGTTAATAACTCTTATCTGTGCATCGTAACTTTGCTATAATTCTATGGATAAATTATGTTTTTATATATAACAGATTATTGATGATCCTACTTCACCTGAAGGTGTTCAGCAAGAACGACGTATGAAGTTACTGTCGTTAATTAATAATATAGCCCTTGATAAAGGGTCGATGGTCAAAATTATAAATGTCATGGTTGTTCCAGACCAATTGGAATGAGTATGATCAATGAATTCTTGACTTGTTATTTCCTAATAACTCAAATATATTTATTTTCAAATTTCTTAGCTTAATAAATGTTATCTTTGTAGAAACTATTATAACAAAGTACATAATCCCTTTTTTCCGTGAAGCCCATGGATGCGTTCGTTCATGATGAAAGAGTCATATTGTATAAGGAGGCTCTCGTTCATCACGAGAGTTATGAGAAAGTTACGTTGTAAAAGGTAATAAGTAAAAACGTATAAACATGCTTAGTGTTTGTTTAAGTTATAGTTCAAAAGGCAGAAGTTGTTTGAACCTTTGAAGTATCCTTGGACGTTCTAGTTTTTTATGAGAAGAATTCTTGTAAAGAAAAGATAAATTTTGAAAACCAAAGAATCCCGTTTTCGGTCCATGCCTCCAGATACCCCGAGATAGTTGAGCACTAGAGCGTCGCATGTTAACTAAGGGAACCACATAATCCTTGTTTGTTTTCCATGAAACATATGGATGGTTTGCTCGTGATACATGAGAAACAGTAAATGGGAGAGTTAAATCAGAAAGATATAAACCGATAAAATTGGTATAAAATTTGTTTAAGGTTGTCTTTAATTATAAGTGTCAGAAAAAGACAGGGTCGTAAGAAGTTAATTGAAACATTGCTTGGTTTGTTTTATGAGAAGAAAACAAAAAGATAAAATTCGAAAGCAAAAAACCCCGTTTTCGGTCCATGCTTCCCGATATGTTCTTAAGCGGAAGGCACTAGAACGCCGCATGTTAACGTTTCGGTAGGAGATTTCGGCCCACGCTATCCTACTTGGGAGATGCCAATAGCAAGTTTCCGCCCATCAGACCCTGAGATCACCTGCGATAGGCTTTGCTCAGGGTACGCAGGGAGAGTGCGGTCGCCACCACCGAAGTGAGGGCCCCTAAGCCACTGCATACTATATCGCATCCAGCTTCCACTGCTACTTGACATCTACTATATGGAGTTTTAGCTTTATATATATATACCAAAATTTAAAGGCCTACGAAAGTTGTGGGATGATTGTTATCGTTACTGCGCATGCCCAGATAGTTTCTTCGATAATTTGCGACTAAGTGAGTTAATTGACACAAATGTAGTGCAAGTACATATAGTTGGTCGTTGTCATGACTATGAACAATTACTCGAGTGGACTGCGCATGCTCGAGCGCATGCGCAGACGATTTCTCTATTAAATTGTTACTAAGCATGCTATTTACTTCAAAATTGGTACTAGTAGATGCAGTTGGTCGTTGCCATGACCACGAACTTGGTAGCTGGTCAAGTTGATTGCGCATGCTCAATAAGACTGCGCATGCGCAGATGATTTGTCTTAAAACGTGTGACTGAGCGAGCTAATTACTCCAAAATCGGTACTAGTACATCCAGTTGGTCGTTACCATGAGCTTGGAGAGTTTGTGGAGTTGACAACGCATGCTCAGATTCTCAATTAATTTGTGACAGAGCGAGCTCTGAAATTGGTGCTTGTAGATGCTGAGCAAGTTTTCCATCATTTTGTTCTTAAGCTTGTTTTACAAATGCATGTGAAACTCGTCAACACTTTGTTACGGCACTCGTAATATCCGTGACAACGTTAAAATGTTTTTATTTTTCTACAACTTTATATCTGCATATTGCATGTCATATCCAAGCTTTCCTTTGATTTGACGGGAAATGGTTTTATTCACTCTTACATCTTCTGCCTTTATAATTAGTCGATCTGTATTTCTAAACTAATATTTACAAATGCCTCAAGAGAATCTTTTATTTTATTGGCTCTCTTCTACAAATACACCATGTCCGACTATTTGATTGCACGAATTTTGTAATTTGATCACTTTTTGACACATGTGTTTACCATGGGAAAGTTGGATTGCTTAAATGTACGTAGTTGTTTAGACTAGTTGATCCATAGTTATCCTGTAATGTATACTGTGAAACACCAATGAGCATACGTAGTGTGTCTTCTTTAACCTCTATTCTTGTTCTCCACTTCATCATCTATCCATATTTGTTCTTTTTAGTTCTCAGCTCAACGAAACCCTTTCTGAAGTTCCTAAAGCCTTGATCTACCCAAGAAAGATCTCTGGTGGTAACATGTTAGGTATGGTAGTGGTCATCGTCATTGAGCCTTGTGACACTAGTTCAGTAGACGTTAATTGTCCTGAAGACGTTGAGGAGGTTGCTAGTAAAGCGTCGCCTAAACGAAGTTAGTTTTCATGGTATGCTAACGGATTACGCAAACGTTGTTGGGAAGAAGTTCACATCAAATGGTTATGGTCTCGTTCCATCGTCTTCTGAGAAGGTTTCATGTTCATCCTGTATCTTTCACCAATGTTACAAATACTTAGTTTATAGAAATTGTCGTTTTTATGACTATTATTTTAGAGCATTCCTGAAGAATCTTAAGGTATTTTAACATTCAATAATATTTCGTTCATCGTATTGCTATAATTCTATGGATATATTATGTTTTTATATATAACAGATTATTGATGATCCTACTTTGAAGGTGTTCAGCAAGAACGACGTATGTTACTGTCGTTAATTAACAATATAGCCCTTGATAAAGGGTTGGATGGACAAAATTATAAATGTCATGGTTGTTCCAGACCAATTGGAATGAGTATGATCAATGAATTCTTGACTTGTTATTTCCTAATAACTCAAATATATTTATTTTCAAATTTCTTAGCTTAATAAATGCATATTGCATGTCATATCCAAGCTTTCCTTTGATTTGACGGGAAATGGTTTTTATTCACTCTTACATCTTCTACCTTGAACGAGAGCCTCCTTATACAATATGACTCTTTCATCATGAACGAACGCATCCATGGGCTTCACGAAAAAAAGGGATTATGTACTTTGTTACAATAGTTTCTACAAAGATAACATTTATTAAGCTAAGAAATTTGAAAATAAATATATTTGAGTTATTAGGAAATAACAAGTCAAGAATTCATTGATCATACTCATTCCAATTGGTCTGGAACAACCATGACATTTATAATTTTGTCCATCCAACCCTTTATCAAGGGCTATATTGTTAATTAACGACAGTAACTTCATACGTCGTTCTTGCTGAACACCTTCAGGTAAAGTAGGATCATCAATAATCTGTTATATATAAAAACATAATTTATCCATAGAATTATAGCAAAGTTACGATGGACAGATGATAGTTATTAACGCTATAAAACTTAAATTCAATATATCGTATAAAGTACCTCAAATCCCGACGATTTCTCGTATCGAAAGGATTCTAAAGTAAAGGTGATAATTAAGATGAGAAATTTCGATGAATTGAAACTAGAGAATTTTCAACAAAAAAATGTTGAAAATACCTGTACTACCACAAGATTCTTCAATGTCTATGCTCTAAAATAATAGTCATAAAAACGACAATTTCAAAAAGCATAAAAAACTAAGTATTTGTAACATTGGTGAAAGATACAGGATGAACATGAAACCTTCTCAGAAGACGATGGAACGAGACCATAACCATTTGATGTGAACTTCTTCCTAACAACGTTTGCGTAATCCGTTAGCATACCATGAAAACTAACTTCTGGTTTAGGCGACGCTTTACTAGCAACCTCCTCAACGTCTTCAGGACAATTAACGTCTACTGAACTAGTGTCACAAGGCTCAATGACGATGACCAACCACTAGCCATACCTAACATGTTACCACCAGAGATCTTTCTTGGGTAGATCAAGGCTTTAGGAACTTCAGACAAGGGTTTCGTTGAGCTGAGAACTAAAAAAGAACAAATATGGATAGATGATGAAGTGGAGAACAAGAATAGAGGTTAAAGAAGACACACTACGTATGCTCATTGGTGTTTCACAAGAGTATACATTACAGGATAACTATGGATCCAACTAGTCTAAACAACTACGTACATTTAAGCAATCCAACTTTCCCATGGTAAACACATGTGTCAAAAAAAGTGATCAAATTACAAAATTCGTGCAATCAAATAGTCGGACATGGTATTGTATTTGTAGAAGAGAGCCAATAAAATAAAAAGATTCTCTTGAGGCATTTGTAAATATTAGTTTAGAAATACAGATCGACTAATTATAAAGGCAGAAGATGTAAGAGTGAATAAAAACCATTTCCCGTCAAATCAAAGGAAAGCTTGGATATGACATGCAATATGCAGGTATAAAGTTGTAGAGAAAAATAAAAAACATTTTTAACGTTGTCACGGATATTACGAGTGCCGTAACAAAGTGTTGACGAGTTTCACATGCATTTGTAAAAACAAGCTTAAGTAGACAAAAAGCATGCCAACAATATATGATGGAAAACTTGCTCAGCGCATCTACAAGCACCAATTTCAGAGCTCGCTCTGTCACAAATTAATTGAGAATCTGAGCATGCGTTGTCAACTCCACAAACTCTCCAAGCTCATGGTAACGACCAACTGGATGTACTAGTACCGATTTTGGAGTAATTAGCTCGCTCAGTCACACGTTTTAAGACAAATCATTTGCGCATGCGCAGTCTTATTGAGTATGCGCAATCAACTTGACCAGCTACCCAAGTTCGTGGTCATGGCAACGACCAACTGCATCTACTAGTACCAATTTTGAAGTAAATAGCATGCTTAGTAACAATTTAATAGAGAAATCGTCTGCGCATGCGCTCGAGCATGCGCAGTCCACTCGAGTAATTGTTCATAGTCATGACAACGACCAACTATATGTACTTGCACTACATTTGTGTCAATTAACTCACTTAGTCGCAAATTATCGAAGAAACTATCTGGGCATGCGCAGTAACGATAACAATCATCCCACAACTTTCGTAGGCCTTTAAATTTTGGTATATATATATAAAGCTAAAACTTCATATAGTAGATGTCAAGTAGCAGTGGAAGCTGGGTGCGATATAGTATGCAGTGGCTTAAGAGCCCTCACTTCGGTGGTGGCGACCGCACTCTCCCTGCGTACCCTGAGCAAAGCCTATCGATGGTGATCTCAGGGTCTGATGGGCGGAAGCTTGCTATTGGCATCTCCCAAGTAGGATAGCGTGGAGGGGCCGAAATCTCCTACCGAAACGATAACATGCGGCGTTCTAGTGCCTTGCGCTTAAGAAGGTATCGGGAAGCATGGACCGAAAACGGGGTTTTTTGCTTTCGAATTTTATCTTTTTGTTTTCTTCTCATAAAACAAACCAAGCAATGTTTCAATTAATTTCTTAGGACCCTGTCTTTTTCTGACACTTATAATTAAAGACAACCTTAAACAAGTTTTATACCAATTTTATCGGTTTATATCTTTCTGATTTAACTCTCCCATTTACTGTTTCTCATGTATCACGAGCAAACCATCCATATGTTTCATGGAAAACAGACAAGGATTATGTGGTTCCCTTAGTTAACATGCGACGCTCCAGTGCTCAACTATCTCGGGGTATCTGGAGGCATGGACCGAAAACGGGATTCTTTGGTTTTCAAAATTTATCTTTTCTTTACAAGAATTCTTCTCATAAAAAACTAGAACGTCCAAGGATACTTCAAAGGTTCAAACAACTTCTGCCTTTTAAATTATAACTTAAACAAACACTAAGCATGTTTATACGTTTTTACTTATTACCTTTACAACGTAACTTTCTCATAACTCTCGTGATGAACGAGAGCCTCCTATACAATATGACTCTTTCATCATGAACGAACGCATCCATGGGCTTCACGGAAAAAGGAATTATGTACTTTGTTATAATAGTTTCTACAAAGAAAACATTTATTAAGCTAAGAAATTTGAAAATAAATATATTTGAGTTATTAGGATATAACAAGTCAAGAATTCATTGATCATACTCATTCCAATTGGTCTGGAACAACCATGACATTTATAATTTTGACCATCCACCCTTTATCAAGGGCTATATTATTAATTTACGACAGTAACTTCATACGTCGTTCTTGCTGAACACCTTCAGGTGAAGTCGGATCATCAATAATCTGTTATATATAAAAACATAATTTATCTATAGAATTATAGCAAAGTTACGATGGACAGATGAGAGTTATTAACGCTATAAAACTTAAATTCATTTTAGTTCGTATTATATTTGTGTCATCTGCTCCATCTCACTAATGTTACTTATATGAACTGGAATTCTCAGCAGAAGATCGCATGTTGATGTTGTGGGGCGACATTTACAATTTTCTTTGCAATCATGTACAAACGTTACGGAAAATTTTTGGAAAACCCAGAACTGGAATAGTCTTACATCCCGATAACCACTTCAGAAACGCTGATATGGATACGTCTCCTGTTAAAAACATTTTAAACATTTAAGACTGAAAATGAATAAACAAACTAATCAAGGTATCCATTTTTGTTTTATACCACAACTTCAGATTAGAAAACATCACTTCAATAAATTTTACGCGTTATTTGATACTTTCAAAAAATTCCATCGTAAATACAATAATACAATTTGGCACCCAATTTACAACATATATATTCAAACTAACCTTCAGTATCTAGGGTTTGCACATAGTCGCAAAATATCTTGTACACGTCAACCTCCTTTTCCTTGTGAATCTGCGAACTGCTGAATGTTGGAATAATTTCATTGAGGAAAGTATCAGCAGAAAGTTTAAACGAATCGTTATAAGGATCGAACAATGGCTTCCACAACTCTGGATTTTCTATCATATAATTTATAAGACCACAACTGCTGAGGCCTTCAAGCAATTGCATAATTTGAGGAAGAACTGATGAAAAGTGGCCCATTACGCAAATTGACCTTTAAAATAGAAATAAATCTTAGACTTTATAAACCAGCAGCACAAGAATAGTTTTTAATCTCCATTAACTTTCAAAATGTACTTACTGAGCAATTTTGGAAACAGTATGCACTGTCTCTTTATGTGGTACACCAGTGTATCCAGCCTCTGATAGCATTTCAATCATATCATCGCTGACAAGTATCTCCCTCAACATTTCATCGTCACAAGCTTGCTTTATCTTTGAAAAGGAGAAGTGTAAAGTAATCATTACTGACATCAGAGAATATAATAAAAATAGACTTATTTCAAAATCATGCCACAGCAAGGAGTAATAATCAAGCATATGGTAATCTCCATCTTGTTGGCATACCTTTTAACAGCTTTTTTGTACTTGGAGTCGGGCATTCCTTCTGTTGTGAGTGCCTGTTTGGTGATGTACTTGTAAACATCTGGACTTATAAAAGATGAAGCTGGTCCGCCTTGAAGTAATGACATCACCATGACCTCGCCAGCAAAACGAAAGTCTCCATTCATGATGGCGACAGTTGAATTAATAGGTTTTCCATTACAGAACAGTCTTCTTTCCATATGCTCCAACATTTCTGATGAAAGAATTAACATCTAATCATATTTTTTCAATTGTCCCCATCCTATATTTAAACCAAACTTGTCAACATTGATTGATGCATGATAGACAAATTATGGGAAATAAGCTGCAAAGGGAATTGAAGTGTAGCAGAACAATATAATTATTTTAAATCAACAGGGTGCTCATATTAACCCTAGAAACATATGTCTTACAATATTAGTACCTGAAAAAAACTCTCTCTTTGGCCCCCCGTCATCAATTGCACACTCTCCAACAAACACTATCTTTACACTGTCAGTTGGTGACACTTTACCACTTGATCTATACTCAATGAAGTCACACCATATATTTTTCTACTGAACATTTAATCTTACTGCCTTTGGTGACAATGTTACAGCTTTAATATCCAATAACTTATCTTTCACATTTGTAGTGTTATCTTGGTTTATCACCACATAAGGATTTTCTTCGGGAATGTTCTTTTCACTATCCGTATTTTGAGATTGAAGTGCTCCCACCCATATGTCACAACATATATCTGCATGCTCTGCTATTTCATCTATTGAAAAGTATTGTTGACATGTTGGGCACTCACATTTGAGCTCCTTGCTACGTGATACATAGTTACTTGCACTTTGGGAGTTATATATGGGAGGTGTATTCATTGGGAGATTTGTAGCAATATGCAAGCTAGTTGATGGCTCACATGGACTTGAAGATGGACAAGGTGAGAGTTCAATTCCAATTGTATCATCAGTTTCTAAAAACATCTCATCAGAAAGATCTGCGATTGTCTCTGGTTCACTATCATCACAACTTCTTTTTAATTTTGAAATCTCTGTGTACATATATGCAGATTTTAGTGCAATGAAAAGTGTTAAGCGATTATAATTCTTCCCTATATCTTCCCTGTATTCGCTTAAC